GCTGGAGTCTTTGTACAGCTGGACGACGCCCCTGGCCGTGTCCACTATGAGGCAGACGCTTGTCCACATGCTGCCTCTGAAGTCCATCCACCTGATGTTGGGCTGCAGGTAAACCTTGTTGTATATGTTGTCTGTCACATAATACGAGAACGGTGTCGAACGTCCAAAACTGAGAGGATTCCCTCTGGATGGACTCAGCTGGAAAAGGGCGGAACTTGAGTCCAGACCGTCAGTGATGTACCGCAAACACACCGAAACACCTGCAAAGTTCGCAAGAGATGACCACAAAGAGGCGCACAATGACAACACAATCGCAGCATAACAACAAAAAAACATCCACAAAATGCTCAGAAAAAGCATCCTGTCCTTATTGTGTCATTAAGTCATTTGGATCTTCAGAACCCTATTAAGGAGAAAACTTTTAAAATACATAAATACAGATTTATATATAAAGATAGACTTTTATGAGGAAGAGCCACCTTTACAATGACTGAGTCTAGTTATTAAACTTTTTAGGTCCTACTAATCCCACATATCTCTGAAAAATCAAAAACTTCAAGACGGCCCCAACATGATGCACAACACATTTAAAAACACACACAAAATTAAAAAGGAAATAAATAAATACTGTGTACTTTCTGAGCCCTCCTTCCCCTCTGAGGTCAGAGGTTGATTGTGACTAATCTCATTATCTCATTATTTATTTTGGTGCTTCGGCAACTTTTTAACAGAATGTTTAACCATTTTTCAAAAACCCTCCAGGGAGGATCCACGCTCACTAACAGGGATTTCCACCCTGCTTTGACTTCCACTTGCTCCTTGACCAGAAACTCTCCCTTAAGAGTTTTTTTTTTTTTTTAAGAATATCCAAGGTTTTGTAAATGGATAAACACCAAAGCCAAATCTATCTGAATAAATACAGGAAATGGAGTTAATCCGTACACTGGGGAGGAACTCACCTCTTGTGGGAGGAGCTGTGGTCCATGGAAAGTGAGTGGTTCTGGGTGTGGTTTTGGGCGTGGTTTTGGGCGTGGTTTTGGG